ACTGGGTTATACTGGGATATACTGGGAGGAACTGGTTTATACTGGGATGGAGCTGGAAGGGGACTGGGGGGACCTGGGATATACTGGGAGGGGACTGGGATGGACTGGGAGGGGACTGGGGTGTTTTTGTATTTTTCAGTGTGCAACATCCATTTTTGTGGCAGAATTTCTGGTTTTTTAGTGCAGAATTTGGGTTTTTTTGGTACTTTCAGTGCAGAATTTGTATTTTTAGTGCAGAATTTGGGATTTTTGGTATTTTTTAGTGCAGAATTTGGGGGTTTTTTGGTATTTTTCAGTTCAGAATTTACATTTTTAGTGCAGAATTTGGGGTTTTTTGGTATTTTCAGTGCAGAATTTGGGATTTTTGGTATTTTTTTCGTGCAGAATCTGTATTTTTTAGTGCAGAATTTACATTTCCAGTGCAGAATCTGCATTTTTCGTGTTCCCCCCGTGCTCACCCCCCTGTCCCGCAGGCGGGGGGGGGAGGGGGTTCCGTNCCCCCGCGGGCCCCGCCCCCCGAGGAGCCCCGGATTGGCCCGAGCCTCCCGGCTCCGCCCCCCGCCATGGCCACGCCCCCTCCGGAGCCACGCCCTGGGCCCGCCCACATTGCGCCGGTGCCACGCCCCCTGCGGAGGCCACGCCCACAGGACCCGCCCTTCCCTGTGCCGGAGGTGGGCGGGGCTTAAAGGGGCGGGGCCCGGGTGGGAAATGGGGGTGGGCGGGGCTAAGTGTGAGTGGGTGGAGCTTGAGGCATTGGCAGAGCTGAAGGGGGCGGGGCTTCAGGGTTGGAGTGGGTGGGGCTGGGGATGGGGGCGTGGCCTCTGGGATGGGTGGGCGTGGCTGGAGACGGGGAATGGGCGTGGTCAAAAGGAAGTGGGTGTGGCCATGGACAGGTGATTGACAGGTGTCCATCAGGCGGGGGTGGGGCTTGGGAAAAGGGGGCGGAGCCTCCGAATTTTGGGCTCTTCCTCTGAGTGGGTGTGGCCAGATGAGAGTGGGCGTGGCCACATGGCAGCCATGTCCCAGGTGATTGACAGGTGCCCGGCGGGATGGAGGCGGGGCTACCAAAAGGGGGCGGAGCCTCAAATCTGAGCATTTCCTGCTGGGTGGGCGTGGCCAGAGAGGAATGGGCGTGCCCAGAGTGGTGGGCGTGTCCCGGGTGATTGACAGGAGTTCATTAGCATCCAAAAAGGGGCGGAGCTTCCACATTTAGATTTTTACGTTGGTTGGGCGTGGCTAGAGCAGAGTGGGCGTGGCCAGCCAGGTGGGCGTGGCCAGCTGATTGACAGCTGTCATTCAGAGTGGGGCGGAGCTTTGGGGGAGGGGGCGGAGCCTCCGAATTTTGGGGATTTCCTTTCCTGGGCGTGGCTAGGGCGGAGTGGGCGTGTCCAAAGTGAGGTGGGCGTGTCCCACGTGATTGACAGCTGCCCATAGAGATGGGGCGGAGCTATCCAAAAGGGGGCGGAGCTTACAAGGTTGGGGTTTCTGTCATGGTGGGCGTGTCCAGACAAAAGTGGGCGTCGTGTCCAAAGTGAGGTGGGCGTGTCCCACGTGATTGACAGCTGCCCATAGAGATGGGGCGGAGCTATCCAAAAGGGGGCGGAGCTTACAAGGTTGGGGTTTCTGTCATGGTGGGCGTGTCCAGACAAAAGTGGGCGTGTCTGGGGCGGGGTGGGCGTGTCCGGGGCGGGGTGGGCGTGTCCCGGCGTGACTGACAGGCGCCGCGCAGGTGGGGGCGGAGCCGGCGGCGGAGGACAAGCGGAAGGGGCGGGGCGAGCGGCTGAACCGCTGCATCCGCACGGCGGCCGGCAGCTCCTGGGAGGACCCCAGCCTGCTGGAGTGGGACGCTGGTACGGACTGGGACGGACTGGGATATACTGGGATATACTGGGGGACCCCAGCCTGCTGGAGTGGGACGCTGGTACGGACTGGGAGGGACTGGGATATACTGGGATATACTGGGAGGGACTGGGAGGGAACTGGGAGGGACTGGGAGGGACTGGGAGGGACTGGGATGGACTGGGAGGGACTGGGAGGGACTGGGAGGGACTGGGAGGGACTGGGAGGGACTGGGAGGACCCCAGCCTGCTGGAGTGGGACGCTGGTACGGACTGGGATAAACTGGGATATACTGGGAGGGACTGGGGGACCCCAGCCTGCTGGAGTGGGACGCCGGTACGGACTGGGACGGACTGGGACGGACTGGGAGGGACTGGGAGGGACTGGGAGAGACTGGGAGGGACTGGGAGGGACTGGGATCAAACTGGGCAGGACTGGGAGGGGAGTGGGAGGTTATTGGTTCATGCTGGGATGGACTGGAGGGTTACGAGTTTGTACTGGTTTGTACTGGGAGGGCACTGGGAAGGTAACGGTTTGTACTAGGAGAGACTGGGACGGTACTGGTTTGTACTGGTTTGTACTGGTTTGTAGTGGGAGGGTACTGGGAGGTTACTGGTTTATACTGGTTTGTACTGGGAGGGTACTGGGAGGTTAATGGTTTGTACTGGGAGGGATTAGGTGGTTACTGGTTTGCACTGGTCTGTGCTGGTTTGCACGGGTCTGTAGTGGTTTATACTGGTTTATACTGGTTTATACTGGTTTGTACTGGTTTGCAATGACCCAAAATCGCCGTTTTTCACCCCAATTTCAGACAATTTTCAGATATTTTGTGGGGATTTCAGGAATTATATCAGTGATGATATCCTGAGCCTGACTGTGACCTTTGGGGTGTCCCCGTGACACTGGATGGCCTCATAATGATCCCATAACTTCATTAGTGACTCTTTTACCCCAAAATGACCCAAAATCGCCGTTTTTTACCCCAAACTCAAACAGTTCCTGGGTCTTTTGTGGGGATTTGGAGAACAAGATCAATGACAAGACTCTGAGTCTGGTCATGACCCCGAGGTCACCCCAAGACCCCAGAACTTCACGATGACCCCAAAATTTCCTTATGATTCCAAAATGACCCAAAATCGCCGTTTTTTACCCCAAACTCAATCAGTTTTTGGATCTTTTGTGGGGATTTGGAGAACAAGATCAATGACAAGACTCTGAGTCTGGTCATGACCCCGAGGTCACCCCAAGACCCCAGAACTTCACGATGACCCCAAAATTTCCTTATGATTCCAAAATGACCCAAAATCGCCGTTTTTCACCCCAAATCCAGACGATTTTTAGATGTTTTGTGGGGATTTCAAGAACGAGATCAATGACAAGACCCTGAGTCTGGTCATGACCCCGAGGTCACCCCATGAACCCAGAACTTCACGATGACCCCAGAATTTCATTACGATCCCAAAACGACCCAAAATCGCCGTTTTTCACTCCCCTTTAGCCACGCCCCATTGAACCCCACCCTGTTTAGCCCCTCCCCTTAAAGTGCTGCTGGTTAAGCCCCTCCCCCTTTCACCACACCCTCTCTAGCTCCTCCCCTTTAAGCCACACCCCCTTTGGCTCCTCCCCTTTAATTACTCCTCCCTTTTAGCTCCTCCCCCTTTGATTTGCTCTGCTTTGGCCCCTCCCCTTTTAGCCACGCCCCTTTAGCCCCTCCCCTTTAATTACTCCTTTAGCCCCTCCCCCTTTGAAGGTCCTTGAGCCCCTCCCCTTTTAGCCACGCCCTCTTTAGCTCCTCCCCTTTAATGGTTTTTCTTTAGCCCCGCCCCTTTCAGTGTCCCTTTTTTAGCTCCTCCCCCTTCATGGTTTCTCCTTTAGCCCCACCCACTTTAGCTCCACCCCTCTAATTGGTTCTCTTTTAGCCCCGCCTCTTTCAACCCCACCCTCTTTAGCCCCGCCCCTTAATTTGTCCCCCTTAAACCCCACCCCCAGCCAGGTGGGCGTGGCCAGCTGATTGACAGCTGTCATTCAGAGTGGGGCGGAGCTTTGGGGGAGGGGGCGGAGCCTCCGAATTTTGGGGATTTCCTTTCCTGGGCGTGGCTAGGGCGGAGTGGGCGTGTCCAAAGTGAGGTGGGCGTGTCCCACGTGATTGACAGCTGCCCATAGAGATGGGGCGGAGCTATCCAAAAGGGGGCGGAGCTTACAAGGTTGGGGTTTCTGTCATGGTGGGCGTGTCCAGACAAAAGTGGGCGTGTCCGGGGCGGGGTGGGCGTGTCCCGGCGTGACTGACAGGCGCCGCGCAGGTGGGGGCGGAGCCGGCGGCGGAGGACAAGCGGAAGGGGCGGGGCGAGCGGCTGAAGCGCTGCATCCGCACGGCGGCCGGCAGCTCGGACTGGGAGGGACTGGGATCAAACTGGGAGGGACTGGGAGAGACGGGGAGCGACCCCAGCCTGTTAGAGTGGGACGCTGGTATGGACTGGGAGGGACTGGGAGCAGCTGGAAGGGAACTGGGAGAAGGTTTGGGATTACTGGTTTGTACTGGTTTGGGGTTACTGGGATGGACTGAGGGGGACTGGGATTCACTGGGAGAGGACTGGGGGGGACTGGGATCACTGGGATTCACCGTGACTTTTGGGGTGTCCCCGTGACCCTGAAACGACCCCAAAACGATCCCATAACTTCATTAATGACCCTGTAACCCAAAATGACCCAAAATCGCCGATTTTCTCCCCAAATTCCGACAATTTTTGGACTTTTTGTGGGGAATGAGGTCAGTGATGAGACCCCGGGCCTGACCGTGACCTTTGGGGTGTCCCCACGAGCCTGAAACGACCCCAAAACTCTTCCATAATTTCATTAATGTTTCTGTAACCCCAAAATGACCCAAAATCGCCGTTTTTTACCCCAAACTCAAACAGTTTCTGGGTCTTTTGTGGGGATTTGGAGATCAAGGTCAATGATGAGATTTCGAGTCTGGTCATGACCTTGAGGTCACCCCAAGACCCCAGAACTTCACGATGACCCCAAAATTTCATTACAATCCCAAAATGACCCAAAATCGCCGTTTTTTACCTCAAACTCAATCAGTTTTTGGATCTTTTGTGGGGATTTGGAGAATGACATCAATGATGAGATTTCGAGTCTGGTCATGACCTTGAGGTCACCCCAAGACCCCAGAACTTCACGATGACCCCAAAACTTCACAACGACCTCGTAACTTCCCAGTGACCCCAAAATGACCCAAAATCGCCGTTTTTCGCCCCAAATCCAGACGATTTCCGCATCTTCTGCGGGGACCTGGGGAACGAGGTGAACGACGAGACGCTGGGCCTGACTGTGACCTTTGGGGTGTCCCCATGGCCCTGAGCTGCTCATACAAACCCTAAAACGACCCTATAACCCCAAAATGACCCAAAATCGACATTTTTTGCCCCAAATTGAGACGATTTCTAAATTTTTCATGGGGATTTGGGGAACGAG